AACGTGTTGAGGGTTGCTTTCTAGAAGAGTATTTTCTTCAAGCAATAGGGGTGAAGAGGCAAAGCAGCTTGGGAGTGGGGATAAAGGCAACCGATGAAGGGATGTCGAAAGTGGGGATAGGGGCAAGGGATGAAGGGACGGTGGAGGTGGTCACAGTCTCAATCACAAAGAGTTTAATGTGAATCAAAATTTAAAAGATATAAAACACTGCACTTAAATATTAGACATTGCATGTCTACCATGAAATCTTGTACTATATCTAAAAAAATTTATTATATAAAAAAAAGGAAATATTTTAACTTTCATCAATTTCAATAATACAAAAACTAAAAATACCCTTCATCGTTAATCTTAGATGTGAGTACTTTGTTCAAAATATACCTGGAACTTTCAAAATTTTCATTAATATCCTTAAACTTTCAAAAAGTTTAAAAGTACCATTAGTACCACGTTTCAAAAATACCCAACTTTCAATAGTTGGATTAATACTTGTACCCTTTAAAAAAAGTTTTCAAAACACTTCTTATCTCCTCTCTTCAATCTATGGTCAAACGACCATTTCGCTATTTTCCTTTTTTTTTTCTTTTTTTTTTTTCTATCTTCTTCGATACTCTCCCATTCTTCTTTCATCACCAATTCTAAAATAGCTCCTTATAGGCTATATAGCAAGAAGAAAGGAGAATAACCCTCCCCTTCTTCATTCTCCAATCTCTAAGACTACTCCTTTCAATCAAGGTATATAGGCTATATGGCAAGAAGAAACTGAATAATGAAACACAAAGGGCCCTTAGAACTTAAATGTTTTAACAAGATTGTAAGTTAATAGTTGTGTGTGAGTTAATACCTCATTTCAGTTTAATACACAAAAAGAGAAACACATTGAGAACTCGGGTCATATTTTTTAGAAAAGCTAGAGGGAGAGAAAAAAAAGAAAACCTGTGCGTTACCAAATTTGAAGAAATTAAGATTTTTTTGACCGTTCAAATTAGTCTGTTTGTTGTGATTAGTTAAAGGATTCCCATAATCAAAGATGATATTTCTTTGTCGGCCCTTTTTTATATTTGGTTATTCATCCCTTTGTTGAGTTTTGAGGGCAGCTTTTTTTTTATTTTTTTTTATTTTGGGGCTTTGCGGGATTTTCTGGGGTCTATACTACTTGAAATTTTAGATCATGTTTGGTTCTGGAGAATTGGTGTAAGAATTGGACAAATGGGAGAAAACTGAAAAATTTTAAAAATATATATATATATATATATATATATGTATGAAGGAAAAAAAAAAGAAAAAAAGTATCTATATAAGTTGTTTTATATTTTTTTCCGTCAAAATAACTTCAAAGGAATTGACTATCAGATATTAATTTTTTTTACACTTATGTTTGAGCATATTCAGAAACAAGAGTTTCTTCAATTTATTTAAAAATTGTTCTCAAAGAAGAGAGAGAGAGAGAAAAAAAGGAGAAATGGGAGAAGTTTTAAAGATCGAGAACGAAATAAGGGAATTAAGAGGGTATGGAAGAAATGAGGGAAAAAAAATGAATATAAGAAAGTGTTAAGCCATACATTGAAGCAAAAGAGAGAGAAAATGGAAGACAAAGGTAATCTAAGGTAGATAAATAGTTTTCATCCGTATCATAACCATAAGAGCTTTTAAAAAGAAAATTAACCTTCAAGGTATTAATGAAACTTTTGAAAGTTCAGCAGTATTTTTGAAACGCGGTAATAACAGTTCCTGCCTAAATACTATCGGTACAAGTATTTTCAAAAAAAAATTAAATGTTTAAGAGTATTAATAAAACTTTTGAAACTTCAAAGCTATTTTTTAAACAAAATATTAACGATTTCCATAAAAAAATTAAAAAAAAAAAAAAAAGTTATGGAAAGGGTATTTTTGAACATTTTCAAAAGATTTAAGGGTATTATTTAAACATTTGAAAGTTTAAAGGCATTTTTAAACCATGTACAAAGTTATCAGGTAATTTCTTTAAGTTAGCCTATTAGAAACCTGAATGACAAAATCGTATATCTGCTAGGGAAAAGTGTGCCGTAACCACTCACCTAGAACGTGACCAAATGTGCTTGTACTTGCCGTACAATTCACATGTAAGCTCATCTTTGCAAAATCCAATATTACTCAAGACTACTAACAATTGCTGATGTGGATTCGCAATACTCCCACGCACATCTGAAAGTAATTCCAAGTGTGGACTTTCTTTGTTTTGTTTGTTCTGGGCAAGCTCACTTCCTATACTCTCTAGATGACCTACATAAGGTATACATAAAATGATTATATCACTAATTACAATTAAGCAGTATTTCCATGCAAGGAAAATGATGACAGTTAGAAGCATATAATACCTGAAAAATCAAGGAAACTGTTCAAAAATGCAAGTCTAACAGATTCCTCAATTTCTTGAAGTTGTAAAAATATATCCTTCGACTTTGAAGCCTCACTTGCTAAAGACTGAACCATACTGAAAATTAATTCAACTGAGAATCAGTTTAAAAAATAATTAATTATTCTTTCAAAAGCAAGCCTTTTGTTTGCATCTCCAGATAATGGTAGATCTTGCAGTGAAATTTTGCTGAAAATGTCGTACATGAATATTTGTATGCATCTTTCAAAGGAATAAAAGAATCTTCGTTCACATACACATGGCACTTTATGTGCAAATGCCAGTACATTAGTTATGAACCAGCATATAGGTGTATATTACTCATTCATCTGAGAACCATAGGCCTATTTATAATACAATTAATTCTCTAGATAAAAAGAAACAAGACAGAAAAAGAAACAATAGAAAATAAGAAACACGTTAATTCCCTTATTTAATGGGATTACACCTATGTTCTTCAAATATTTCTTCGGACACTTCCCCTCAAGCTGCGAACTAGAAATCATGCATTTGGAGCTTGGATACTGACTCATTGAAATGGTAGGCTATGAAGTTCTTTTGTTAGCACATCTGCTAGTTAAAGTCGTGAGGGCACATAACTCATACATATTATCCCCTTCTCTAACTTTTTCCTAATAAAATGTCAATCGATTTCAGTATGTTTTGTCCTAGAATGCTAGATAGGATTATGAGCAATGTTAATGGCTGATTTGTCACCCTTGATTTAATGATTATTTTCAACCATAAAAGCTCACATAGTCCAGGTACAATAGCTCAAAGTTCTGATTTGGCAGATGATCAAGCACCACATTTGCTTTTTACTCCTCCATGTCACTAAATTTCCTCTATGAAACGTGCAATGCGCTGGAATAGATCTTCTATCCACTATTGATCCAGCATAGTCATAGTCGGTGTTATTGTAAGCTTCCAATGCAAATGAATTGTTTTGTTTGAACAAAATTCATTTTCCTAAAGTTCCTTTCAGGTAATGTAACACTCTATATACTGCATGAGGATGAGGCTCTCATTGGTCATGCACAAATTGGTTAATCACGCTCACTAAGTACACTACGCTCGATCTAGTGTGAGCTAGATATATAAACTTCTTGTCCAGCCTTTGGTATATCTCTCTGTCCACTGTAGCTTCTTCTTTTGACTCCCCCAATTCTAATGTTGATCCATTGGCCACTTTTTCTAGTTTCCATCAATAAATTCATCACATATTTCTGTTGTGATATGAAGATTCCTTGAGTTGAGTACGCTACTTCAATGCCGAGAAAGTATTTTAACCTCCCAAGTTCTTTGGTCTCAAATTCTCTCATCACTTTCCTCCTAAGTTCAATATTTTCTTCTTCATTGTCTCCAGTGACTATGATGTCACCTACACACTAGAAGCACTATAACTCCACTATACCGTAAGTTTGAGTATATCTCTAAGTTACCAACCTTGCTTTATACTTTTCCAACGTTCTATCAACCTTGTACTTTACTCTTAACAATATTATTCTCATGAGTTATTCTTTTTCAGAGCATGCATTTCTTCTCTCATATCATTCCATCTTTCACTTTTGGATAACGTATCAAAAACTGTGTTAGGTATAACAATTGAATTTAGACTCAAACTTGTGGATGGGATAATCTTTTAAGAAAAATATAGTTTGATAGAGGGTATAAGAATCATTTTGTGCATTCTCTAGTGTGTTTTTGGATAGCTATGGATCTATCATTTATTGGTTCATTTGGAGTTCCATTATGCATATGTGTTGCATCTTTATTTTGAGTCAGGTCCGATGGTAGGACTTGTACTGGTTCTAAAATGACTTTCCTCCTGGCATATACTTGAAGGAACAACGGGCCTGGCAATGAATGTAGATTGGATAGTTCAGTAGGTGGCTCTATTGTGACTGGATCTTGGCTAAGTAAGTCCTAATTGGAATTGGTGGTAGGAATGGACTCAATAGTTGTTGGTCATGTGTTCAGATATGTGAGTGTGAGGACATTTGAGGTTCAAAAGTGAGGATGAAACTGGTTGAGGACTTCTATTGGCCTTAGATTTATTTCAGACACGAGATGGAAGATGATTAATCAAATGAGTTGCAATAACTGCTTCTCCCCAATAAGACTTCAGCATGTTTCTGTGAATAAGCAAGGCCCTGGAAGTGTTAAGGAAGTGTCCATTTTTCCTCTCAGCCATTCTATTTTTCTTTGGTGTACATAAGAAAAGTCGTGGATAAATACCTTGAGATTGTAAGTTTCGAGATAAGGATAGCATTGTCAGTTCTAAATATTTTTATTTTAACTTAAAATTGGGTCTGATTCATTGAGGGGAAGGCAGGAATAATAGTACTGACGACAGATTTTTGTTGGAGGAGGAATAGTCATGCAACCCAAGTACAATCGTCAATTAATGTGAGGAACCAACGATCACCAGAAATATTTGGAACAACTGAGGGTCCCATATCTCACTTTGAATCAAATGAAAATGAGTAGAGTTTCCATTATTACTAAAGAAAAAAAGATACACGTGTATGTTTGGAAAATTCACATGAATCACAAACATAATTTTCAAAACTCTAAATGAGGGATGACCTATGAGAAGGTGATATAACCAAATCGCATTTTTATTTAATAAACTAAGAAAGTACACAAATGAGATACTCGTTTTTCTCTCGAGTAATTGCAAGTAATATAGATTCATTCAATTCCTCAGCAAGTCCAATCGTCCGGCTCAAGGCCTAGTCCTGAAAAACACAACATGATGAGGAGAAAAAACACAAGCTTGGCAATCATGGCCAAGCTTTTATATTGAAATGAGACTGGTAGATAATTTTGGGACATGAAGGACTTGTTTTAGTGTAAGATTTCAAGAAATGAATACATCATCTATTCCTGTCATAGTGGCACTAATCCCATTTGCCACTATAACTTTTCAATTACTCAGGCCGGTTTATGTGTTTTCAAAAATTATGGTGACTGAGGAGTCATGTGATCAGTTGCACCAGAGTCTCTAATCAAATTCTGAACCACACTTATCTCTCAAGGATTTATATAAAAGGTGAATGGAAGGCTTACCTGAAGGCTTGTTGAGCAAGTCCAAAAATACCTTCCATCTCTCTCTTCATTATTGAATCCACTAGTCTTTATGATAGGTAACTTTTGTTTGTCAGGCATAAGACTTTACATGCTTTCTTCTACTCGAATAAGAGAGATTGTTTCTTCTAGGACGGTGTTTCTTCCTTTTTGATGATCAATACAGAGACATGGTCAAACTCGTTCAAACCTACCAAAAAGTCATAGGCACGGTCTGCTTCAATCAATTTCTTCAGAATTACGAAATCAGCAACGCACTTCATCTCAAATACCCGATAACAATTGAGTTCATGCGACAACGTTTGCAAGACATTGGCATATTCTGTGTTGTGGGTCACCTATCTTCTGGGCGGCAGGCAGGAACTTCCTCTATTGATGATGGGATTTTTTATTCTTCTAACATGATGATGGAATAAAGAAAGGGAAGAACACTAAATGGGTCTTGGTCATGGTGAATGATCGTCAGCTATGAAGACTTCAATGATTTGAGTAGACTTTAAGTTTAATTAGCTAGGAAGGCTTTGATACCGTGTTGCAAGAGTAATGTATATTCTTCTGTTTTCTTATTATTCATCAAAGAATACCATAGGCCTATATTAATCCAACTAATTCTCTAGAGAAAAGGAAAGAACATAAAATAGGAAATAGGTTAATTCCCTTATTTAATAGGATAACACCTATACTCTTCAAATATTCCTTCAGACACCTCCATTCTCATTTCTCTTTAAATTTTATCTTCCTAATGGTTACATAATTTCTGTGTCTAATAATGCATGATAGGCACATACGTAAAGCACATCAAAGCAATGCAGTTCGAGAATTCCTATTATTAAAAAAAAACAAAAAAAAAAAAATGAAACCTCGAGTCTGAATCTATCAAATGCCTGTCTTATTAGTTAAAGCACTATTCTCCATCAATATCTGCTCATTATAATGCCAAAATGCAATTACATCAATTCCAAACCAGGTTATGGGTGGCATTTCATATCTTCCATTCTCCATCTCTTAGATTTTATTCTCACCATGACTACCTGACTTCAACGTTTTATAATACATGATAACCACACACATTAAGCGCATCACAGAAATGAAGATAGAAAATTTCTATCGTTCTAAATGTAAATAAAACATAATATCATCTGAACATCACTATCACATCCCAATTATAATTTTTTATGGCATTCTAAGGCATTCACGTATTTCTGCTTCAGTATAAAACAGTTATCCGAGAGCATAATAGCATGAATTCATGTGTGAATAACCTAGAAGATGTACAAGACCTCTACTTTATTCATTTTCTCTTTTTTATGGTATAAGGAACAGAATACAGTAGAATACTTGTATAGCACCAAGCTAAGGAGACTTACAAATTTATTTGATCCATTGCTGAAGACATGATAGATCGAAATGCTAGTGGCAGGAAGGAGATTGTGTATGGAGATTTATTCCTCTCGATAATTGACACAGGGACCCATGTTTCCTCTTTTGAAATCCTTACAATGGAGGCTCGCATCCAGGAACAAAGCCTAAAAATGTAAATCTTTGTCACCTCTGATTGAAGTGTTCGCAGTGCAATCACTGTGTTAACAGAGAGCAAAAAAAATGAGAATGATTTGAGTGGAAAAACAAAATTTAGATATAAATGATGTCAAGATACCAGCACTTGAAGGAGCTGATTCCTTCACTACAAAAGCTTCACACGCGCTAGATATTTCAGTAATGGCATCACTCATATATGACTGAAGTATATTTGATTCTTCAAGATCACGAAAGGTGCTGTGAACCTGACAAGTTAAGCATTGCACAATTTACCTAAGCTAAGCGCATGTACACCATGAAGGGATCAATTGTTATGAGTTATGAATTTAGAGACTGGTTTCTTAAGTTCGTAACTCTGAGTGAACAAAAAACGAAAGGAGAATTTCTTAACACCCGGCTCAAATGGGAGAATAGACTTATATAGAGAGGAAGCATAATAACCCATGTATCAGTTGGAAGATATAAAGAGGATATTTAGTTGTCATTCCCACTGTTCGGTAATTTAAAAGAAAATAAAGGGTAAGAACACTTCCAGTTACAAAAGACAACTAGCCCCCACCCACCCCCCAAAAAAATTCTTCCTATCTAGAAGAATCTTCTCCCTACGGGTGAGAAGAGGCACACTTCATAAACACAGTCGAGAGTATTTATAGAAACACTTATAGCATATCAGTAATTACTATACTCTGAAAAGAAATCAAATCAATACCATTATGCAATGACTATCCAAGGTATAAACATTATCACCTTTACTCCATATGCAGATAGTGTATTGCGAAGCATCCCAGCAACTTCCTCCACAGAATGATTTGAGTACTTACCCTCACTAACCTTGTCCTCATTTTTGCTAGCTGATGAGTTAGCAAATTCAGTAGAAACTTGAGAGGACTGAAATATTAAAAATCAAGCATCAAACTAAGGGCCTGTAATAAAAGTTAAAGGAAAAAAAAACTGATATCATCCTACCAAGAAAAATACTGAGGGTTATTCATGCATCAACCCATTGAAATTTAGAAAATATTACTGATATGTTCCATCTTTTCAATAAGAAATGCCAAGGGCTTCAGGAAAGGGGTATAGAGAAAGGGAAACAATATATCGGCTACCCAAAACCCACCCCAATTAAAAATAAAGGGATTAAAAGATTACTCACAATGAATATTAAAAACATAAATAAGTTAGAAAGAAATGCGCATAGAAAAGACAACTTGCAGTAGATCACTAATTGGTCTGGCATTAAGAAAAAAAAAATTGTCAAAATACCTTGGCAAATTTCCCACTGAAAACAGAAAGAGCAGTTTTCCAAAACGTTGGTATGTGGTGAATAAGTACAGCAGTCAATCTCCGAATATATCTAGCTCTAAGAGCATCAACTTCTTCACTATTTACTTCCACTGGTTTCACGCCCAACGGGAGATGGCCATCCAAAGCAGAAGAATGATGAACATCTGACTGACAACAATAAAAAAATTAAAAATTAAAAATTAAGCGATGATCAAATTAACTAATTTGCTCATATCAGCAAACGATAAAATCATCTTCAAAAGGTTTCACGTACAGATTGATCCAGATCTTGATGAATCTGCCTCCATCTTGCATCAGCAAGTGCTCTTTCCCGCATCTTATTATTCAATGCTTCCATTCTCGATTCATGATCCAAGGTACACTTTTCAAGTAATCCTCGTATCTTGTGATTCTATAAAAGAGAACAAAAAGTAGCTAAGTGAGCTGCCATTTTTTATTATTTCTTTAAGCTTGACCTCCAAGGTAATCCACTGGCATATGAAAAGAGGGGGAAAATAGGAGAACGAAAAGATACAAATCAGAAAAGGGTATTTTCTTTAATTTTTAAATAAGCAACCATTTCTTTTTGTTTTCTTTTTTGTGTTTTCTTTTTTTTTTTTTTTTTTTTTTTTTTTTTTTTCTCTCTTTTGTATAAGAAACAATTTCATTGATGTATGAAAGTCACAAAATGGATGTTAAATCCATGGTGATTACAAAAGGCCTCCCAATTGGTTAAGAGGGAGACATGGCTATAAGGGAGAAAAAATATTAGACAATTTATACCATAAAATAGCATTGTAAATAACCAGATCAAAGAACCTAGCATGAGATTGTCCCTATCTAGGGAGACCCTTTGATTTCACTCATTCCAAAGAATCCAAAAAAATAGCCCAATAATATTCTTCCATAGCAAAGCCTTTACATCCTTGAAGGGGTGACGCAAGCTGTATGGAGAAATCATTTACCTCACAAGGGAAAGTTAAATACCAAACAAGGGCTTTGAGAACTCTATTCCAGAGTTGCAAGCATAAGGGCAGTGAATTTAAAGATGGTCCGTGACTCATCATTTTCTTTGCACATAGGGCACCAGCTTAGGAACAAAGCCAAACAAGGCATCCTTTTTTGAAGGTTTTCTTTGGAACTGATGGTTTTGTGTGCAACTTCCCAAAGGAGAACTTTTACCTTTTTTGGGTGCCTTTCTTTCCAGTTTTCTTGGACCAATGTAGGATCCAAGATAGCCGTTTTTCCACATATCAGACAACAAGGATTTTGTGAAGGATCCATCCACACTAGGGAGCCATTTAGTTTAAGGAAATTATTCCATTGCTTCCATCTGGTATTAGAAGTAAGCAGTTTGTTGTGATTGTGGCAATTATGTAAAATAATTCATGAAGATTATTTTTTGAAACACAAGAATTAGGGAACAGATCAAAGAGAACTGCTTTAAAGAAATTTTTGCAGCATCAATGTCCAGATATCGTGTTAATTTAGGTGACTAAGATTATCTCTTTTGATCATGTGGGATGAAAACATATTGAATATTCTGGAATTCATAAGAGATAGAAATTATTCCATTGCTTCCATCTTGTATTGAAAGTAAGAAGTTTGTTGTGATTATGATGATTATTTTTTAAATAATTCATGAAGACTATTTCTTGGAACACAAGAGGATTAGGGGGCAGCTCAAAGAGAGCAGATTTAAGGAATTTTTTGCAGCATCAATGTCCAGATATGGTGTTAATTTAGGATCCGAAGATTGCCTCTTTTGATCAACGCTTGATAAAATGTTTATGGAGCTCTAGCGATGTGAGATGGGTTAATAATGTGTATTCACGGGGAAGGTCAAGAGGTCTTTTAATTATGTGGGATGAAAAGATACTGAATATTCTGGAATCCATTCAAGGTGGATATACTTTACCAGTAAGAGTTCCTTTTCAACAATAGGAATGTTGGATTGCTGCCTTCAACCAGTGTGAAGATTGATAAAATTTTGAGATCATTGTCCAGGGAAGGTAATGAAGGAAGCAAAGTAAATCATTTGGTTAGATGGAGTTTTGTTTCAAAGACATTAAAGTCCGTGGATGTCAATTTCAAAATTTTGGCAGAATTTGATTCACTTGCTCACTTTAATTTGATCAATGGAATGAAGATTCAGTTTTGGGAAGATCACTGGTTGAATAATTCTGTTTTAAAGACTTGTTTTCCTCGGTTGTACGCTATTTCATCTTCTCCTAGTGCCTCTGTTTCAACATTTTGCTATATCTATAATGATTCTTGACTTTTGAAAGATGAGATGCGCTGATTTCAGACTCGATTACTAGACACTTATGTTACAAGTCTTGATACAAACAAAGATTCTAGAGGTTGGCCAATTGATTCTTCAGGTATTTTCACGGTGAAATCTTTAAATAATCGTCTTATATCCTCTTCACATTTAGAGAAAGAGTTATATTCAACCTTATGGTAGTCCAAGAGTCCTAAGAGAATTAATATTCTTTTGTGGATAATGCTTAATGGGAATCTTAATAGATGTTTTGCA